GGCCGCTGCATACAAGCGATTGGGCCGAAATCAAAGTAGCCAATTCAAACAAAGTGACCATCAGATGCAGCAAAAACTCGGACTTCAAATCTTTTTGTGGACGAAGTTGTGAGCCGTTAAAAGTTCTTTGCTAATAGATTGTGCATGCAAAGCGCAAACTAGGAAGTACAGAGTCATGTTCGGCCTAACGCTGGCCGAACATGACTCTGTACCGCTAACGCCAAAATATGCAGCCAGGTTACTTTATATTCTCACGGCATAAAGATGAGTCGAAAGTGCAACTATGTGCTCAAGTTCACAGTTTTTATTTACGATTTCGCAATAAAACTGCTCACAACTTCGTCCACAAAGGCGCTAAGCAGAATACAGATTTGAAGTCAGTGTTGCATCGTATGCAACACTGACTTCAAATCATGTTGCTGCATCGTATGGTAGGGAGCCTGCTTGGACTGGCTACTTCGACTTTCGAACTTCCTTTGTGAAATTTCTAGGAGTGCGCTCTGGCCTTGAAAGGAGTTGGGGATTGAACTTTAATGTTTTTGCATGCATTGGCTACAGCAACTTTGGAGCAGAGAGAATGGACTCCGTGAAATTAGCCCTCCCATTCATAAATAGGCAAGGAAAGCCACGGAGAAGAGTGCGGGATCCAACACGGGAATCCTGAGTAAGTATAACATAGGGGGAGGGGTGAGGATTGTATGACAGGGTGCGTAGCATGGAATTCGGAGATGAACATTTTCGGGCACTCCGGCCTTACAAGCATTTGGCAGCAGAATTTTGGTCCTTTCCCATACGTTGGTTACATCAGCTTTGTGCAGGGAGAAGGAGAGGGCACCGTGGAACTCAGCGCCCCCATCAAAAAAAATTTTGGATGAAAGAGATTCGTCTTTGGTTGGCTTACCCAGGATGAAGGGTCTACGCTTCAACATGGGAACTGCGAGGAAGTAAAATATGGAGAGAGAGGAGAGGGAGACCGTGTGACAGCACCCGCTAAGCAGGAAATTAGTGGGAGGGGGATAATAATTTTGCGCACCCTGGGATAGGAAGTTGACTGGGCACCGTGGAATCAGTGCTCCATTCAAAAAAGGACCGGGATACTTACGGAGAGGCGTTTGGGCTACATGGAAATCCAAGGAGGTATTATGGGGGAAGGGAGAAGGGTGAGGACTGTATGACAAGGCCGTGCGTAGCAGGGAATTCGGACAAGAACAGTTTCGGGCGCTCTGCCTTGCAAAGATTTGGCAATAGAATTGTGGTCCTTTCGCACACGTTGGCTACACCAGTTTTGGACAGGGAGAAGTGGACACCGTAACTTGGTGCTCCCATCGAAAAAATTTTAAAGAATTCCGGTCTTTGACTAGGTTACCCTGGATGAAGAGTCTGTCTCCAACAAGGGAACGGTAAAGAAATAGAGTATGGGGGAGGGGAGGGGGGAGAGAGACCTTGTGACAGAGCACCCGCTTAGCAGAAAATTAGTGGGGGAGAGGGAATAACTTTGAGCACGCTGAGATGGGAGGTTGGATGGGCACCGTGGAATCAGCGCTACGAATCAAAAGGGCCAGAAAACTCACGGAGGAGATCCAGGGCTCAACTTGGAAGCTCCGATGAAGTAAGATAACGCGAGGAAGGTAGAGAAAAGGAGGGATGGTGCACCCTTGAGAGGTACTCTTGGCAGATGGAATTTCGGGCATCCTTGCCATAAAAGAATTCGAGGAATGGAGTTTGGTGCTCCCGCATGCACTGCCTGCAGCAGCTTTGTGGCAGGAGAAGAAATGCATGGAGTATAAGCTCCCACTTGGAAAGTTCCGGGCGTGAAAATCCAGGTACTTTGGCCAGGAAAATATTAGGCTATAACTTGGAAAACTGAGTGTAATAGCAGCCATTCTGACCATAAAAACATTCAAGGAATGGATTTTTCTGCACTGTTTTTCGTAAGGGCAGCACTTCCACTGCCTAGATGAATCAGTTGAGATGCAACCCGCGAATCTTTGCGTTCCTTGGCATGCAACACGCAAGGGCCCACGGTTCACTAGTTGTTAAGTAATGATCGTTGTGTCCTTTTTATCAGTACTACCGATCAGGACTCCTTTCTCTTTTTGACTCCTTAATACACCTTCCAGGTATGCGTGCCATGTCTCACGCTTGATCCTGCTGACAAGCTATTCGACTCTTGTGGCGAATAGCTTTCTTCGTATTCTATTCTCCTTTCCAGCTTTACTTGATAGGTAGTCCTCTTTCTACAAATCTTTGCGTTCTGATCGCTCCTAAATTTTATAAGCATATAATTAGTGATTATGATTGCAAAAATCAGCAAAAAGCTATGTCTCCAACATTCGTGACACATTTCTATTTGGAAAAAAGTAAGATTAGCACTGTGTATGCTAGGCTTCTCGTCTCTGATTATAAGGATAAACTTGTTAAACCTCGTCATAGCACTGTTTTCCGTACTCTCTCGCCCTCGAAAACCGCCGCACTTCGAGCTGACAAGATTCCGCCTCTATATGAATCGTAAAGCCGATGATCCATCTTTTCCCGCTTATTGCCATTAATTCCCAACAACTCTCCTCTATAAGTTACGTTAGTTAGTTAGTTAAGTTAGTTTACGTGTTGTTTTATATCAAGATATGAGTCCAAATCATTGTTATGCTCATCCGCTGAGAGCAGTTCTCAGTCAATCTTGAGTGTAGACTCGTTTGGTCATGCATTTCTGTACAATAGTAATCTTCGAACTGCTACTGGTCCACGTTCCTGGACAGGTTTCGTGGGTCCTAATCGATCTAGAAGATGGGGTAAGTCGTTATGATAATCAGTCAAAAAGCCAGTACTGGATAAGTGAAGGCTATACAGCCACAGTTCTACGTTCCTTTTTCTCGTGATATGTATTGGTAACTAGCTAGCCCCCTCGGACCGTGAGTTTGAACACCTCACCCTGTTTGATGGTGGTGCATACTTGCTCTCAACTCGTCCAACTTACCTTTATAGCGTTTTCATTTTCTTGCTTTTCTTTACCGTTGATCGTTTTCTCCCTTACTCTCCCTTGATCCCTTTAGGACCTGCCATCGTCCGCGTGTTCGGGTTAAATTTGTCCTCCTTCCTTGCTGTATCTTCGCCACACCGCATCCTCTTTACCGCAAAATAAAATGAACCCTACTGCCTGAGCTTACGCGACTGTGGGGAAATGCTTGGTGAGCATCTCAGGGATTCGCGCCACGCGAGCGGTCCTCCTTTAAGGGCTAGCGTCCAAGCGGTCGACATAAGCCTAAAGCTTCCGTGCGTGCGGCAAACAGCTGAAGCGCCTTCCTAGGGCAGGCAATGTTACCGGGCAAACGGCCTGCAATACAAGTGCTCGAGCGAGCGGCCAGCAATGCGTCCGTCTTATCGGTCAGCAATACCTGCTGCCGTGCAAGCGGCCGACAGTGCTCTATCTACTGCTCACTATTTCACACATTGTGAGCTCAAACGGTACCTGCGTAAGACACGACGCAGCGTTTAAGCTGGCTAAGCTTTGACATAACTTGTTATCAACATTTTCCTTCCCAGCAAGGGTGGAATGAACCTGTGTGAAGCCAAAGTTATCAAGAGTGATGGTGTGGGCTTCATCATGGAAAGTTTGGCCACTGCTGCAGGCATCGTTCGATGTTCTCAGAATGTAAAAAGGACTAACATATCCAACAAAAATGGTCAGGATATCCCATATAGATCTACTCCAACAGCAAGCGAGCGGTCGACCTTCCCCGCGCAAGCGGCGAGCGTTAGGAACCGTACGGGCACCCCACGTTAACCGTGCCAGCGGCCCTTGACGACCGTACAATCGCACACACCGACGAGCGATTGTAGGGTCATCGCTGGCCGCCCGCACGGCGCGAGTCCCTGAGATGATAGGCTTTTACCTTCCTCAATGTCAGTAAACAAATCATCAAATCGATAGAGGCACCCAGCGAATTGTCGCGAAAATAGCCTATCTTTTGCGCCGTGTCTCATTTATAAGGCAATAAAATTCCTTCTTTGGTTTACTTACAAAGGAGTCTATAAGTCACGAAAATCCTAACAAACAAAGTGTAGTGCTTGAGTTATACAGGGTGTCCCAAAAGTATGTATCGAACGTTTGATCGTTAATATCTCTCTTCCCAAGAAGTCTTTTGCCTTGCTTTAGGTACCGTTTTGTAGAGCTGGCTTCAACTTAGATTTGCACTATAGAACGAATCATTCATCTCTCTTCATTACTGTAGGATTACGGTAGAAACTTGAAACATGTGGTGTTAATGTGAAAAAAGCTGCCGTTTCAAAATTTTTCAAAAAATCGTAAAAACTTGTGTAATAGGGTTTTTATGGACGCTGAGTTCAATAATTAACTATTCACAAGATTACGAAGCTTTCTAAACGGTGCAATCCCACTTTTTAGGAACATTGAAAAAATGGCCGCTACTTCTTACCTGGCATAACTCTTCAATGAAGCATCATAATAAGTTGGGAACTTTACAGTTATAATCAGCAACTCTAATTAGCCTAGCATAAAAGTTTTCAAACTGTTTTGTTTCCTTTCTGTGGCAAAATATGGCCTTTCATGGCTCAAAACCCTCTTTGAAGTTTCTACCGTAATCCTACAGTAATGAAGAGAGAGGAGTGATTCGTTCTACAATGCAAATCTAAGTTGAAGCCAGCTCTACAAAACGGTACCTGAAGAAAGGCAAAAGACTTCTTGGGAAGAGAGATATTAACGATCAAACGTTCGATACATACTTTTGGGACACCCTGTATATAAACCAGTGCGCCACCTCTGCTTGGCAGAGGCTCGCACTGGCCCTACTTTCTACATGCCTTCTCATTCCCGCATAATAATGAACTGAAACTCATTGCGCTATGCAGGCTATCGAATGATTCGTAAACAACAACCCAATCTTAGAGCTTTTCGTGTAGTCAGTATTTGCATGGATGAAACTATTCCCCTTGAAAATAGATGCAAATTTGAATAGGTTTGGACATCTTATGGCTTGGTAGTCACCATAAGGACAATAAGCAACGTGGGCTACATCTCTGTGCAAAGATATTCTCAAATGATCAGGTAAAATCTTGGCAAATTGAACAACAACAACTATTTTTTTGGCGCAGTTTTCGTAAAGTAATCAACTTTAGTTCAATTTTATGAGCTAAAGTCCGTGGTGTCAACAATTTCTTGTCAGACATATCATCGACTTCAAAAAGTGGTGGTAGAGGTCCAATTTTGCTGGACAGAAACAAAGTGGATCCGTTTGCGCGCAAATTTTGAGGGATCCACTCAACGGATCCGCTCGTGCTTTTGCATAGTGGACTTTCATGCTTTTAGCATGCGCCACGCAAAATTTGGGGTCGGGACGTGCTGGAAAACGCTCCTTGAATTTCATAAGGGGCAGACACACGCACAAAAAAACGTAAACACCCTTAGCCCCTTATTATAAGTTATGATGCTAGTAGACGTCTCCGGTCCAGCCCGAAGTGGTAAACCGGCATAGCATGGTGATCCGTATCGTAACTCAAAGTTTCCTTCGTTCATTCTTCCTTCCTGCTTTTGCCCTTGGTTTGCACTGCAGCGCGTGGTATAGTTGGCTGCACTAAATCGCCCAGGCTGGAAGCCCGCAAGTGCGCCTTTTGCCGGCTAACATCGGCATTCGCGCGCATGAATCATCAGTGTGTGTGTGTTCGTGTGTGTGTGTGTGTTCGTGTGTGTGTGTGTTCGTGCGTGTATGTGTTCGTGTGTGTGTTCATGTGTGTGTGTTCGTGTGTGTGTGTTCGTGTGTGTGTGTGTTCGTGTGTGTGTGTTCGTGTGTGTGTTCGTGTGTGTGTGTGTGTTCGTGTGTGTGTGTGTTCGTGTGTGTGTGTTCGTGTGTGTGTGTGTTCGTGTGTGTGTGTGTTCGTGTGTGTGTGTGTTCGTGTGTGTGTGTTCGTGTGTGTGTGTGTTCATGTGTGTGTGTGTTCGTGTGTGTGTGTGTTCGTGTGTGTGTGTGTTCATGTGTGTGTGTGTGTTCGTGTGTGTGTGTTCGTGTGTGTGTGTTCGTGTGTGTGTGTGTGTTCGTGTGTGTGTGTTCGTGTGTGTGTGTTCGTGTATGTGTGTTCGTGTGTGTGTGTTCGTGTGTGTGTGTTCGTGTGTGTGTGTTCGTGTGTGTGTGTTCGTGTGTGTGTGTGTTCGTGTGTGTGTTCGTGTGTGTGTGTTCGTGTGTGTGTGTTCGTGTGTGTATGTGTTCGTGTGTGTGTTCGTGTGTGTGTGTTCGTGTGTGTGTGTTCGTGTGTGTGTGTGTTCATGTGTGTGTGTTCGTGTGTGTGTGTTCGTGTGTGTGTGTTCGTGTGTGTGTGTTCGTGTGTGTGTGTGTTCGTGTGTGTGTGTTCGTGTGTGTGTGTTCGTGTGTGTGTTCGTGTGTGTGTGTGTTCGTGTGTGTGTGTGTTTGTGTGTGTGTGTTCGTGTGTGTGTGTGTTCGTGTGTGTGTGTTCGTGTGTGTGTGTTCGTGTGTGTGTGTTCGTGTGTGTGTGTGTTCATGTGTGTGTGTTCGTGTGTGTGTGTTCGTGTGTGTGTGTTCGTGTGTGTGTGTTCGTGTGTGTGTGTTCGTGTTTGTGTGTTCGTGTGTGTGTATGTGTTCGTGTGTGTGTGTTCGTGTGTGTGTGTTCATGTGTGTGTGTTCGTGTGTGTGTGTTTGTGTGTGTGTGTGTGCACCGTTGGAAAATTCAAATCATGCTACAGCCTCTAACAGTCTTAACTGAAACAAAATAGCTTATCTTTTTCCAAGTTGTTCTGGTGCAAGTTTGACGTTGCAGAATACAAGTGCAAATGACTCTGGCACATTCTGTAATCGCAGTTGAAAACTATGCTAGAAAAACACCGAATGGTAAAAAAAACTTCCTCTACACCAGCCTTGAAAAAACAGTGAATTATTTGACGTAAGAAAAATGCAATGCCTTGTTGAATGTGGTGTGTTCGGCCGGATAACAGCAAAATTCAGTCGGAATCACCGAAATAGTCTAACAAAGGAAAGACACGAAGTCGAAGTGGCATTTATTACAAACTGCATATCTCTGGTGTTGTTGGAATCCTGATTCCAAATCCGCTTTCTCTATCTGCAAAACCTTTGAAGACAACGTCTCAGCACGATGATGGGTACTGGGATTTTACAACATTGCAGCGGCAGACCCCCAACTAATCAATCAGCGAAGTCTGGATCGAAACCGCGCGCCCGGAAAACCACTTCAGACGTTTTCCGAACCCCGCCTCCGGCCCCGCCCACTTACAAGGGAACGATACCCGGTGTCCGTGGCCTTTTGAGATGAGATGTATACCATTACACTCGTCTTGGAACCTTCAAAGGTGTTATCATGGATCACGCGGAGTTTGGCTGCCCAGTGAAATACTTTCGGACCGCCAATGCCCTAGGTGCGCTGTAGCCTAGTGGTTAGTGCGATAGCTCCATGAGTTGATGTAGGTGTATGTCCGAGTCCTTTTGTGTTCCTCAGTTTTGCGTTGCCTCAATTAACCTTCTTTTGCATCCTCAAGCTAAGTGAACGCCCTTACTCTTCAAAAAATGTAAAATTTTGGAAAAAATGACTACTGTCTGCGCTAAAATGCAACCAGTGGTCATAATTCGAGTCAACTTTCTCGAACAAGCTTAAATGAGGCAATGCAAAAGTATAAACACGAAGGATTTGAACCTACACCCGCATCAACTTATGAGGCTATCGCACTAACCATTAGACCAGAACGTGGTCGCGGTAGAGGCCGTTCCAATGACCATATTTCCCTTAAGCGGCCAAACTTAGGTCGAAATTTCTCCATAACTTCTTTCAGAGAAACGATTAGCAGAAACGGAAGTCAGATTCGGAATCAGCGTCCGAAGGTGAGTGTAATGGTACACATCTCGTCTCAAAAAGCCACGGACATTGAGTATCGTTTCCTTGTTAGACGTAATTCTCGGCGAAGATGGACATGGGAAACCTCAAATAAGCCACTTTTCTCCATTTTTCACTGCAAAACCCAGATATGATTTAGCATATCGAGAAAGCACCGAAAAGATGAAAAACCGGAGATCAAATTTTGACGGAACACCACCTCTAAAAGAGAAGTAATGAGTATTTTTTGGGACCGGGGAATGTGCTAATGACGGGGATTGTTAATCGTTACAGCCTTTCTAAACGCCAAATCTATTTAATATATAAAGAATCGTTAGCTCAATTTAAAAATCTTCCAATAGCGAGAAACCGCGGCGGGTCCCAAAGCAAACGCTCTTCCAAATAGCACCTTCAAATTGCTGGTTCACTAGTCTGTATATAATAAAGCTGAATGCCTGTTTGTGTCTGTCTGTGTGTACGTACGTTCCGAATAGAATTACTTCTGAAGTTCAGAATCTGAACCGATTCGTACCAAACTCAGCACACACACACTTCGGTTGGGGCGGGTGGCAGGCTACTTTTCGTTATAGTTCGTTATCAATTTTTTTTCATTCTTGCAAAGTTTGAGCTACGGAGTTGGATGTTGGCATAGGAGCGGGGGTGGGGGGGGGGGGGGGAGGAGTAGAGCATGCTGACTACTATACTATCTATACTACTGACAGGGCAGGGCGGAGCCGAGTTTACCACCTAGTGGAGGAATAAGAGGTACTGATACATGAGGCAGAAGGTGTTCACACTATGAGGTTTTGTGATACTTATCGCTAATTCGTCTAAGGTTCTACAGAATCAGAGATTGTCTCTAATCCAACAATGTTCACTTCTTTAGGGGAAGCGCTCTGCAGATAAGAAGGGCGGATTTGGATTTTGCGCTTTACGTTCGTTAATGGTATACAATTTGCGGTGATTGGCCACTCCGATACGTGCCCTCCCTTGTTAGTAACATACAATAAGTTGCAAGTAATTCATCTAATGAGTAGGTCTCTGAGTAAATAGATGTTTTAAGCCTATAAATTTCATTCAATTTATTCAAAGTATGATTGTTTGACCGGGTAGTTTTCGCATGTTTTTTTTTTGAATGATACAGGACAATTTAGGAGACAGACGACGGGATTAGCACTCAAGCAGTTTATGTGTTCAGAATGCAGACGTCTGGAGAATTTGAATGTTTATCGAGCATCATACCTGAATGTACGCTCAAGTACATAAGACATCCAAGTGACGATGTAAGCTTTTTCATGCGCTAGTGCTATGAGCTACGGAACATTAATTATCATTTAGCTCGAGCTTTGTCAAGTAATTACTGTCTTCAAACCTAATAATCGAATATATGAACTAAGGTGCAGAAGGAGAAAAGAGCTTTTGCATGAAGGAGACTGGATCAAGGTAATCAGAAGTTTATCTTTATTCTTAAAAGTGCGATTGACTACTTTTTCTAGAAAACACTGAATGACTTCATCATCGCGAACAACACTTCCGCAGGAGATGCAAAGTGCGTGCATACAACTTTTAAATGCTGCCGCACTGTCGCCTATCTGTAAACTTCTGCGCGATAACTGTTTTCAGCATTGCTGGCTGTGTGGGTGACAGATTAAAAGAGATAGACCTTCCTGAGATCCGTAAGTCGGTTCACTGTTCTCCCATCTGTCACGCATCTATAACACAATCACGACAAGGCAGATTTTTCGATTACTGCCGTTTCGGACCAAATCCTTTCTTGCTTTGTCAAACATACGACCCACCTGTGGGTCGTATTGTCCGAAATGGTAGTCTCTTTGAAAGAAATTCAAAACATGTCCCCGAGAATTTCCTCCACAAGGGTTATCGAAGGAAAACCAAAATATGATTTATTTCAATTTTGGCAGTATACGGCAGTGGCGGTCCCAGAATTTCGGATCGGGAGGGGGGGGGGCGGCAAAAAAATTTTCTCAATGAAGGTGCGTGGCGTGGCAAAAAAATTTTTTGGGGTGCTTAAAAGTCCTCCGAAAAAAATTTTTTATAAGGCTTATTTGAATTTTTGAAATTTTCAAAAATTATTTTAATTGTTTACAAGAATAAACAAGTCACTTGCGCTTTTATGTAACCCATATAAGTAATTTTCAAAAATTTCGCGACCCATCCATTTGTACACTACTTTACTACAGTGGGACTACGGTAGCAGTACGGTGGAATTTTCGTGAGAATCAAGAAACTGATGTAAGAAGGCGGTTTTAGAAATGGAGAGTATTATACTCGGGTCCGAATCGAATAGAAATTCGATCATTCGAATAAAACATTCGAATATATTCGCATTCAAAATTCAATATTCGGAGTTTTTTCCATTTTCGAATAATATTCGAAACTCGAATAATTGAGAAAATGAGGTTTCGAATAAAATTCGAAACTCGAATATTCAAAAAACAGGGTTTTGAATGAAATTCGAAAACTCGAATAATCAAAAACGAGGATTCGAATAAAATTCGAAAACTGGAATAATCAAAAAACGGGATTTTGAATAGATTTTATTCGAATGTTTTATTCGGATGTTTATTCGAATTCGTATTCGAAGAATTATCGTACTCAGATTATTCGAGTTTGCTACAGAGCCAACTGCTGAGTATCAAGCTCGCTTCGTCTGCGTTTTTTTCCACAAAACTGTGCATGTTTTTTTGCAGTCGTGATGACTTTGAACTATACGGAAAGTCGCATTCCTCCGACTGCTTGCGACATTTAAAAAATGGCTGTGGATTTTGATTGATGCTTTTTTGATGAATGAGGTTTGCACTGTCATTGGCAGCAGATCAGCAAAAAAAAGCCATCAAATTCAAGTTCATGTTCCGAGCCCCAGGAAATGTAATTACATGCCTCTTTCTCTGTCTTTGCATTGCTCATGCTTTTGGAGCGCAAAGGTCCACAATAATGAGCACTCTTGCTTGTAAAACTCATGCTGCACAACTGCCTCTGTCTTTTACCTTAGTGATTTTTTGCGAAGTGGTGTATTTTGAGTAACGGACATTGCAGCACTAGACCACTAGGCTACACAACACCCTAGTACCCCGCCATTCTGCCGCCATTAGTACACGTTGCTTACATCCTACGTGTTCAGACACGTCAAGAGACATGGTGCCTTTTCGCTTTAAGCAGAGTGATTCACTACAATACCTACAATACGTACTCCTCCCCCCCCCCCCCATTCTTAACCCCCACTTACGATATATCTTCTATTCAGAAAATACCAATCTTAGAAGAGATTATCCCAGCTGCATTCCTAAATACGATAACCAGCGGTGACTGCTTTATTGACAAAACATAACTGATGTATCAAAATTCAGTCAAAAGCTCTCGAACTCGAACAAACGTAAAATGTAACAACCATGTGTGATAAAAACACGTCATGAAATCATCTACATGCCTCTACCAGTTTGATAATACAATCGACTGGCTGCAGTGGCGGACCGAGGGGGCGCCCTAACTCCCCCCCCCACCGAAAATGGGTCGCGAAATTTCCGGGATTCACTTACGTGGGTTATAAAAATGTGCAAGTGACTAATTTATTTGTGTAGATAATTAAGATATTTTTTAAAAATTTTTAAAAATTTAAATTAGCCCCTTGAAAAAATTTTTTCGGAGGATTGGCTCGCACCACGCTTCTTTTTCTTCATTTTGAGAGGTATGGAGCCGCAAAAAGTTTGAGAAGCACCCCCAAAAAATTTGTCGGAGTGCGTGGCCACGCACCTTCATTCAAAATTTTTTTTGGTCCCTCCCCCCCCCCCCCGGAGAGAAATCCTGCGACCGCCACTGGCTGGCTGATGAGTGTTCTTTATTCGAATATTTCGTTCATTCGACAAATCGGAAAAATAAATTATTCGAATATTCGAATATGCGAGGAATTTAGAAAGACAGTTATTCAATACAAATATTTGAGAAGTTTCAGAATCCATGTTTGAATATTCAAATCGACTATTGCGACTGAATATTCGAATTTGCATGCGAGTATCCGAATAATTATTGCATTCGATATTCGATGATATTCAGTTGTTCGTTTATTCGAATAGTCATTCGATCAAGTGGCTGATCGAATAATCGAAAATTCGAATTTTGGAATGTGCCCGTATTCGAATATTAGAATGCAAATAATATGAAAATCGGAAATCGAGTAATAATCGTTCGTTTGGAAAATTTTTAAATTCAATTATTCGCTATTCATTCGTTCGAAAATTTCGTTGTTCGTTTATCCGATGAAAACTCCCATTCGTCACAGCTATATTACAAACTGGCAAAAAGCATAGTTCATTGTTTGGTTGTAAAAAAAATCTCCTGCGAAAATCTGTCACATTTACATTTCTGAGAAGTAGGTGATGTGGACTATATATTAGTTTCTCAGTGCTGGTAGTTGTATGGTTGAAAAGGTCATGCGAAAACGATAGTGAAATTCAAGTAGGCAGAGCCTACTGCCTACTAGCCTACTAGCCATTTGTGCCATCAAGGGGCGTTCTATGAGATCACTTAGGGTGCATGTGTTTTTGAAAAGTAAGGGTTAGACTTGACTTAAGGCTTTGATTTCACAGCGCACGCAGCTGCTGAGAGGTTTAAGATGGAATAACGGCATCGATGGCTTGCTGATAAAAGCCATGAATTGCCTTTTATGCAAAATGATTAGCATATTCATAATCAGCATGGCAAATAACCCCACCACATCAAGTTTCAGCCAATTTCGTGACTTTCGCCCAACTACCGTATCCCTACCGTAACCGCGCTATATGGGCGAATGGTAAAAAATGAACATCATATTCATAATCAGCGCGCCAAAAAACCCCACTGTACCAAGTTTCAGAGGACTTCGTGATTTTCGTCTAACCACCGTATACCTACCGTAATTCCGCCCCGTGGCCCCGTAGCGAAAAACGAATGTTATATTCGTGATCAGCATACGAAATAACCTCAGTGTACCAAGTTTCAGCCAATTTCGTGACTTTCGCCCAACTACCGTATCCCTACCGTCACCCCCCTTATGTGGGCGAATGGCGAAAAATGAGCATCGGATTCGTGATCAGCGCATTGGATAACCTCCGGAACCAAAATTTTACAAAATTTCAAATTTTTGCGTTCAACGGTGCCCCATAATACCCCCCCCATCATGCTTCATGAAACTCGGAGCAAAATCTACCCCGGAGGAATTTTTTCTGGACCTCTGCGTTAACGCACTATTTCTCTTTCTCTAACCAAACTCGGAGTTAACTCCGAGTTTCGCGGGCTGTTGAAACGCGCAGCAAACTCATAGTTAGCGCGCAGCTGAGCTGCGCGTTTCGTCGCGTAGCGTCTCGCGTAGAACGAATACGCTACGTTTCCATACTTGGCATAAAGTACGTCTTGCGGGGTATCCTGCCATATAAGTCTTTCCCCAATTTGGTTTGCTTATGCAGGTGTTAATGGTCCCCGAGGGGTGCGCGTTAACTCAGAGTTAACTCTGAGTTTGAGCTGCGCGTTTCAACAGGTTTACTACCGGCCCTGATAATAATGATAACATGATATTCGTATCATATGATTAGCATGTCAATTAACCCCTGTAGACAAAGTTTGAGCGAATTCTGAAGATTCAAGATACTACTCAGATAATCGCCGGCGGCAGGCGGCCATGCCATTTTTGGGCAAGCGGGCACCGGAAAAATAGTTCGCTGATTTCTTGCGGTCCGCTTGCAGATATTTGGAAGAATTCTAGCGAGATTTTGAACGAATGCTTGAAGAACAATTGCGGTTTCCTTGCAGATTAGCTGCGGCGCAGTGGCCGCATTCTCGCATTCTCCGCGAGAATATGCAAAATTTTCGGGGGCCGCACGGTCCTTTATGGAGGACCGCGCAGCCCCCAGGTACTTTCCGCTGAGAGAAAGTACCTCAAACTTGAGTAATTAAACCATCGGTGACTCCTCTGCCATATAGAGTCTCACCTTTGCTCGGCGTACACCCGAAACTGCTTAAAAACCGTCCGACCGCCAGCTGAAAATTTGACCAGCGCTCGCTGAAAGAGATTATTTGACAAGCGCCTACAGAAAATTCTGTGTTGCTGCCCGCTGGCAGAACATTAGACATTAAAGGAAGTGCCGCCCGCTGAAGGTTTGGCCACGCCCAAAAATTCTGCTGAGCGCCTGCAGAGAAACGCGAGTTTGCGGACCGCCTGCCCCCGGCGATTGTCTGAGTAGGCTACCTAAGTGAAATGGTCATATTCCAACATGGTTACCTTTGTTTCAAAGGTGAATTAGCTATCCGTTTTTGCACTTAAGACAAAGCACTACTCCTTCTTTGTCCATCTCAGAAATTTCGCTTCAAAAGACCTTCAAACCGTGGATTAGAAGCCAACCACAATCTCATTTTCCCATTTTTTGCTTTTAATGGCTGTGCTTTCACCAAATTTTACTCAAAGCTTAGAAGACGAATCAGGCTTAAAACATTCCTATGGAATCTACGAGGTTTGGGCTATCGATTCATATAAATACTGTTCGCTAAAAATGTTCTTTTGATATAGTTAATGGGGTGTGGCACACCCCCTTAAAAGCTGTGGCAGCCACAGCTTTCAAAGTTGTGTTTCGATTCGGGATTTCTGAGATGGACAAAGAAGGAGTAGTGCTTTGTCTTGAGTGCAAAAACGGATAGCTAATTCACTTTTGAAACAAAGTTAACCATGTTGGAATATGACCATTTCACTTAGGTAGCTTAGTATCTTGAATCTTCAGAATTCGCTCAATCTTTGTCTACAGGGGTTAATTGACATGCTCATTATGGATAGTTGCCCATTATGTTTGACAGAGCCTTCAGGTAATGCTATCTTAGGTATATAATTCAAGGGGGGAGTCCTATTAAGACAGCAATCAGGGGGGGTCGTAACCAGCGATCGTGTGCCACACCCCTTGCTTGACCCTGATTATGTCACCTTGCAAAAATTTTGTTTAGTAGATAGTACATGATAGTTCACAGTTATCACAGTGCATCCAAGATTTTCACGGAGGCTTGTAGGCACTTTAACACCCAAAGCTATCAGCCTATCAACTATGGTGAAGACCAAAGCCGGACGAAGAAGGTCCACATTGAGAAATGCGAGCTTTGATTATGACAGGCCCGCACATACTTCACGCGACAGTCGTACGCGATTTGCCAGTTACAAGATGCTAGCTATGGGGTGGGAGTTGGTATAGGGGGTAAAAGGGAAGTACTGATATAAATAAAATTTTATTTTGTCGATTTTATCAATTTTTTGGAAAATTTTGAGCTACGAGGCTGGGAGTTGGTACAGGGGGTATTGTGTGCTGATCAGAAATAAAATCTATTTCATCGATTTCACCGATTCTTGAAAAATTTTGAGCTAGGAGTGGATATAGGGGATTGAGGGTGCTGATTGTGAATGGATTGATTGGCTCTAGCCGAATATGTCAGCAAGTTCTAGATCTGGTTGCTCTAGTTATTCGGTAAATCATTCGAATATTTATTCGAAACACGACTCTTAATGTTCGAATATAATCGATATTCATTCATCCGACGTGAAAGGTAATGAAGTTAGATATGTAGACTCAATCTCATGATAGATAAGATTATCAGATAAGGTCTTTCTCATAAAAAAGCTAGGCATTGCGCGACAAAGTTAGGCGGCAAGTGCCGCTTTTCCGCCTAACTTTGTCGCGCGACGCAGCGCTTGTCACCTAACTGCGGCGGCGCCGCGTGAGTTAAGTGCCGCCGCCAATTTTTTTCACAAATTACGGGTGGTATTGTACAAGCTATACATCGGCGCAACTATTGCTTCTTTCTATTTTCTCATGAGATTCTCGGTGTCGAGGACGCGGAGATAAATGAGCAGCGCTGCGACAAGAGTAGAACACTGAATGAGATAATCCAATATTAAGTCGAAACTTAACATTAACTTAGATATAGCTGATTTGCCATCGTCAATCTTCATGAGATTGAGTCTTCATATCTAACTTCATTACCTTTCACGTAACGCCTCCTATACCTTTTGCGCAAGTTCAAGCTGCCTTTTCTACTTTTTACACCTGTTAGAACCGGCCAATTACTTCAAGAAACTTTACGGAGACATGCTTACGCGGCTTATAAACAGAGCATGTATTAGGTTGTCCCAAAAGTAATCTCCTTCTTTAAAGAAATCAAACTGTTTTTGTTTCCTTAGTAGACTTAGGGTATCATTCAATAGAGCGAGGCAAGCTCTACAAAATGACCATCAAAGATTCGCCTAAATCCTGATCCAGATAAAATTTTGAGCCAAAAATCTAAATGTCTCAGATACCCTAAAAATCGGATCTCCCTCCAGAATTCTTACAAATTTCCAACTTTATACAGTAGAAACATAGTAGTGCCCAAAAACGGATTTGATGGATTTTTGCGGGGCTCAAAATTGAGAAATTAAAATGACCCAAAAATGCAAAAATGTCCCTTTTTTGGTTTTTCAGACTGTTGAACTTGGTATTTCTCAATCACCAAAGCACAAACAAAATTCTGGGAATATATTTATTAAGGCTTGTATACAATGACATATGTGGGACGGACTAAGGACAGAATTTGCCATTTTTGATTATCTTTTTTTCTCGCTTTTTAAGCGCTGTATAAATCCAGCGAAGGCATTTTTGAGTACTGCTATGTGTATACTACTGCATAATGACTAAGTTCGAGGTCCTTGAAATTTTTTCGCGCAAAAACTCAATTTTCCGGTGATAAATTGTTTTACGATTTTGGCTTCAAATTTTGCCCGGATTAAGACATAGACGGATCCTCGGTGTCCATTTTGTAAATGCTTCACTTTAGAAGACGCTTTAGATTTGCTTGGAAAACAAAAACAGCTTGGTTTATCTAGAAAAGGAGTTTAGTTTACTTTTGGGACAACCTGATAGAAGAGGGAATACGTTTTCTAACGCTGAAAACAACCCCTAGGATGGTTGCAACGCGGCATCCGTGCTGGAGCAAGACTCTTTCTTTTCAGTCACTGCTCTCATACTACAGCAAATTTGCAGAAGATTACCCTTTTTCATTTAATTTTGTTAATAATTTAGCAACCACGACCACAACCACCACAACTGTTACGACCTTGATTTCTACGACACAAGAAGAGCGAAAGGAAGAAAAAGGTGGTAAAAAGCAGGAAAACGAAAAGAAGCAGAAAAGACTGTCATTTGTGGGTTCTGTCTTTTGCTTCGGCTACATTCGTGCTTTCTATACAAAATCAGTTTCAGCTACTCTTAGTGGGTATGATAGCGATCTTCGGTGTTGTGGCACTGATTACGATGATCTTCGCTGTCTATAGAGTGAGCTATCGGATGGCATTGAGGAGAAAATTAAGACAAGAAAGGCAAGAAAGACAAGCGCAAGCGCAAAAAAGAGAAAGAGAAAGCGCAAGCGCAAGCGCCAGCTCGTCCGGTGGCGGGGCCTCAAGTGGAGGAAGAGCGGAAAGGCAAGAAAAAGAAGTAAAGAAAGCGCAAGAAAGAGAAAGCGCAAGCAGCTCGTCCGGTGGCGGGGCATCCTCAAGTGGAAGAAGAGCGCCGACAAGGCGCTGAAACACACGGATCCGGATCGACTACTTTAAAAGACGAAAGTCCAGAAAGTATTACTAGTTGTGATTTAAATGATACTCGATTGAAAAATAATTGCTCAGTTCTTCTGTTAATGATACAATAACACAATACACGGTGTATTTGGTGTTATAAATGGATCCCGTTGATATATGTCTCATCGCAACTTGGTGAGTATTTGCTATTCCACATTAGGTGACCCAAAAAAATGAAAATTTCGGATTTTGCTAAGACTTCGAGTAGAGTGAGGCCCGTAGTAAACCCCCATTCATCTCAGGTGACTTGAGATTAGTCATTCAGAAGAACTTTCTCGGGTGAACATAATCCCGCCCACCTTCCCGTGCTTAAGGATAGTCAGTTCAACAGTCAGAAGACTGTCCGGTCAAGTGTCACAGTCAGTTCACCAGAATGCCACTATCCGAGGTTGAATTTTCGGGTGACCCGAGAGAGATAGTGTGCTTAAGAGGAGGATCAGACAAAATTTCCGTAAGTTGCTCGTGAGTAACTTACGGGAGAATTCAGTTGACTTATTACTGCGGCGCAAAATTCCCAAAATGCACAATTTCGGCGGCAATGGGAGAGGAGCAATGAACAGCTGATTGCGGCGAGAAAAACAAAAAAAACAGGATTTATTTCTTCTCAGGGCTTGCTTACGTTCCTCTTTCAAAAACTGCTTTGAACAAGGATTTCTCAATTCGATTTATTTGCTTTATGTTCGAACATTTTTGTTTTTTTTTATATCCTCATTAAAATGTGATAGTATTGTTCTATCCATTTGTTTGCTTAGCGATATCCTTGATAGCGGTCGCCATCGATTTTTCTTGATGACGGCCGCTATCAAAGATTGTCCTGCGGTGGCACAAAAATTAGCCACTAACCGGCTTCGAACCATGGATTTTCTCGTTGAAACCCATTCACTTAGCCGTTCGACTAAACCGCTCATGGGTGTTAGTTTTTGAGAACGCACAAGATCTCTAGTGGCCGTATTCATCAACGAACCTTGAGGGTTAAACTAACCCTGGAGGGTTAGTTTAACCCTGGAAAGCAATTAACCCGTATTCATGAAACACTGAATAGGCTTAACCCTGAGGATTAAATCTACCCCTGAGGGTAAACCTTACCCCGAAAGCGATTAACCCGTATTCATCAACGAATCCTGAGGGTTAAACTAACCCTGGAGGGTAAAACTTACGTATTTCATCAGGGTTAATTTAACCCTAGCTTAGAGCAAGGTTAACTCTACCCTGACACTTCATACAAACACTTACTCGCATTTAATAGTTTTATAAAAAACGATCAACGAGTATTGTAGTATTCAGTATTAGATTGTTGTTATAGTATTTAGTTTCGACTTCGTTTTATGTTCAGATTTGAAGTACATGAAACACTGAGTTCGCGAGAAAAAGAATTCTAGCTTTGGTGACAAATGAATGCGACGAGGAAAAATGTTTGCGCATTCCACACTCACAAGTGCCAAAACAGAAGAACCACTTTATGATAACACGCACTGACCCCTAAAAGAGTAGCACAAGCCCGGTATAAAACGAACTGCGCAAAAGTAAAACTTACACGGCACAATTGCACACATGAAAATAAACTCACGCTGTAAGGGATGCTGCACAAATATGCTAAAGATGTATTATAAAAACTAGTGTTGGAAGCTTATTCGTTGATTATACTATTATAACAGTGAAAGAATAGAAGTATAAAGTGAATTTAGCACGTACTTAGGCATTCTGTGATGTGAGTTTGCACAGCGCACGCGTAACTGACGCCTTTATCCCAAGGGGTTAGTTTAACCCTCAGGGTTCATTGGCAGTATTCATCAACCATAGGGTTCGTTGATGAATACGGCCACAGGTTCGTTGATCAATACGGGTGGATTGCGTTCGGTAGCAAACCCTACGCTATGGTTGATGAATACGGCCAATGAACCCTGAGGGTTAAACTAACCCCGGGGGTAAATTTAACCCTCAGGGTTCGTTGATGAATACGGCCACAGGACTAGGGAGCGATCCGAATCCGGATCGATGGCTCACCGGGTGCTGGACTGAATCGTTCTAGGTTCAACGTAGGCCCGCCCCCAGCCGAGTTACACTGAGAGGGGTTTACTACGGGCCTGAGTCTATTGCACGATACGAAGATCATATTTATTTCTCACGATAGTGGCACCTGCTGAGGTTACTGTAAGATTGAAAGCAGCGTCCAAGCAAACCTGGACCTATGGGGGTCGTTAAGGGGCCTTCTCATGTCCTTGATTCCAAATATGAAGTCGAGAATACGCGAAAACCCGCGACAATCCCCTTGTACGAAAAACAGCAAACCGGCTCTCCTGAACGGCGATTGGTTGGGCGCGCACGAGGGGCGGGCATTATCAGAGGGGGCGGTACCTCCTAGGTATCCTTGAACCTCTTCGTTATTCCGGCGCGATTTTCTCGTTTTAGAAGCGACATTTTGCGCTCCGACTTGGGCATTGGCTTCGTAGGGGGCCCTAGTGTGGTATGTGCTGCCACAAGTTCAAGATTTCTTTAGTTAGGGTGGACGGTGCCTTTGGGGTAGGGGGTTCAATCACTGATTTGCCCTGAACTTTGTCTAGTGGGGATAATTGGTACGCTAATTATGAATGTCATATCAATTTCGTATGGTAGCGTCATTTTCTAGATTATGGTGGGTACATGGTATATGGTCATAACTTACGGATTTGCTCAAATCTTTGCCTAGAGGAGTTCTTAAGTATGCTGATTATGCATATCAAACCCGTTCGCTGCAACAACGCCTAATAGAGTTACGGTGAGCTACAGTGTGTGAACGAGCAACTTTTCAGGCCAATTTAGCTTTCAAAAACCCTCAAAAAGGCTTTATCACGTCAGAGCCGCGCTATATACGTAACCAGCATATACTCCTCTCCAGTGCACGTAATTTCAGGCGATTCAATATTTTGTTCGCACACGGTATATCAACAATAACTCTGCGAAATAGTATCAAAGAAAAAGAGCATGACATTCAAGCCTATCAGATAACCCGCCTAGACGAGGTTTGGACGAATCCATAATTTTGACCCCCCCCCCTCACAAGTTATACCGTAACCACACCAGATGGCATTACCGTGCGAAATAGGTGTGATAATTGTAATCAACGTGCAGGTAACCACCTAGACGAAGTTTTAGCAAAATCCGCGAATTTCATTTTTCTGAGTCAACTAATATGGAATAGCGCCATACCCAAATTTCCCAATTCGCTTCTATTAGGTTGTCCCATAAGTCTTTTCATTTTTGAATTTTCGCTATAATAAGTCACACATTTCTTACTCTAAATAGAAATCAGGATACCATTCGATAGAGCAAAGCAAGCTCAGATGGCGTTTACGCTTTCGCACAAGCTTTGGTCTATCTCGAGTTTTAAACCAAAATCTAAAAAGTTTCGGATGGCCAAAAAACCGAAAATTTTTTATATCTTCGTTCAAAAAAATCCTACGAACCTCAAACTCGCTCACGTATATACATTCCACATAAGACATTCATATTTTATTTTATTTTATTTTATTTTATTTTAGTTTACACTCACGGTGCACCAAAGAACAACAAAAAATAAAACTCTAACACGTCGAACAATAACATGATAACAGCTTGTCCATGGCTTCAGGGAGATAAACGATGGACGTATAAGCAATCCACTAACCTAAGGCCCTTTAAGATATAGCGAAATCTGTCTCAAATGCCTGATGAGCGTAAATATGGCTTGAGAAACAAAGAACTGGAGAGTATTGCATCCCCCAAAGTTATTCTGAAAACCCCTTTTTGAGTGCCAGCGAGCTTACGGGCGGAAACTAGCTGACAGACCCCAGATGAGTATACCTTTTGGAGGATAGCGAGACTCTAAGTTGAAATGCCAGTTAAGGCTTGTCAGTAAGGCATAGAAGTAAGGCATAGCGGAAGTAACCTGGGCGCTTAGGTGTGACTGTAATAGGAAGACAAGAGGTAGAATCATGTACCCTGGCATACAAGGCAAGCTAATATGATCGTTAGTGAAGCAGGGTATCTAAGTTAGTGGCAGTGAACAAACGAATATAAATAGCTGGGAAAAATGACTGAATGTTTTTTGACTATCAAAAATGAAGCTAAATGTATTTGCTACGTAGACTGGGTTGAAGATTTGACGAGGTATGGAGGGCTTGCGAGGTGTGGACGACTTGACGACTTGACGACTTGACGAGTTGACGAGGTATATACGACTTGGCCAAGAATGAGCGACTTGACGAGGTACCACGACTTGGGGAGGAGTAAGAGACCTGACGAGGTATGGCGACTCGACAAAGTGGGCGACGTGACCAGGTATGGAAGACTTGACTAGGTAACGGCTTGACGAGGCATGGAGGGTGGTTGGAACAGTGGTGGATGGCTCGCGTACTCATAACATCTAAAAATCACAGATATCGAGTAGCTGTAACACATTAATATTTTGTAATCTTCTTTTGAATATTTTGGAGTTTTCACTGGAAACGATGTAATCCGGTAGGACCGAAAACCATCGGGTTGTTCGACAAATGAAAGAGTTGAAAGTCATCAAAAATCGTTTTTTTCCTAATTTGCGATAGTAAAGACCAAACCTACCTGATCGTTCGCTACACGGTCTGAATATCCAAAACTTGCTAGCTTTGAGTCTTGTTTCTAAGCGCAGAATTCGAAAACACAAGGTCAGATCATTCAGAACGCGTCTATACAGTAGGCTCTGCAGGTTCAGTTTGTTTAACCGTAACCGATAGGAGGGTAGAGCTTGTGGGTAATTAGGATTGGGAAAACATCTATAGAATATTATTCTGGTGAACGTTTTTTTGGATTTTTTCGACTCTTTCGATGTTTCCTTTTGTAAATGGACTCCAAATAGGCGAGGCATATTCGAGATGCGGCAAGACATAGCTTTTGTAGAGCCTCAAAAAAACTTCAGGATCATTGCTATGTATGCCACGAAAAATAGTAAAAAGAGTTGCGGAAGACTTTTTGATAACAAGATCGATATGAGATTTGAATGAAAGGGAGGCGTCAACCATGACACC